CTAAGCTCGGCATCATACAAAGGAAAAAACATGTCACGGTAATGCAACCTTTTGCTCTTTGTAGGAGCATGTAACACAGTTTTATGACTCCCTGATCCTTGGACCAATAGATATGTCTGTTCTGAAGAAGCATCTTAGAGCTACCTGGAGTATGGTGAGTGCTGAAATGCCCAGAAAAGATAGCCAGCTGTGCTCCTGTGTGATTCACTCTCAGTCACAAAAGAAATTCGAATGACACAGAAGTAAAGTGCTAGTTCAAACTGACCTAATCTTTGGAAGTAAATATTTCTGAATGTAGCTAACTTGTTGATGGGAGGAGGAAGGGATCTTAAAAGATGTTTTGGAAGCATAACATACTCCTGAAATTTATATTTCTAATGCTCTTGAAGCTCTTTGGAGATCTCCATAAACAACTGAGGGACCAGGAAGAGTTAAGTCTAATATCAGACCTAGGAAATGGGAAATGACACCTTCCAGCAAGATTTGCTGGTGGTATTTGCTGGGTTCCATTCCTCAACAGCTGGTGAACCTGATGATGATATTTTCAGATCTGATTGTCTTGTGCTTTTTAGAGCATTTTTCACTATCAGAACCACTGCTGCTCCTGGAATGTTTACTTGTGAGAACAGAAAATTCCCTTGACTTCTCCTTCAGAAATCTATTTGGTAATTTCAATCACACCCACAGCCAACACAGCTTAAGTGGTACACTTGTAAACATTGAAACACAAATTTAGGTATATTTGTGCAGGAGCCAAGAATTTACGATCTAGATTCAGATCTTAAATTTCCTTAGTGCCTTGGGTGTTTGGATCCATATCTCTGAGTTGGGTGCATATCTCTGAGTTGGGTCCACCATCACTAAAATTAGTTTGGCCATTTAGAAAACAGAACTAAAACTTGTTGGAGCAGATAAAAAAGCAGTCATTCAAATGTTAACCAATTGCCTCAGAGTCAAGACTCTTCCAGCTTCCAAAGGCAGGAGACCTTCAGCTGTGAGCCACTATTGTCACTTTTGGTGTGATTAGCTATGAAAACCAATAGCTAGAGCCTTCCAGCCAGTTTTAACTGCCATGATGAGGTACGGGGTAAGAGGCAGCCACTCACTTAGTGTTTGGCACAAGAGGAAGCTGTGCCAGACTAGGAGAGAGCTGCAATGAGCTTGTGGTGAATTGTGCTACTCAGAAGATAGCCAGCTATGCTCTGCACTATTTGGAAGTTACAGATAAGTAGAGAATATTACTGCAGTCCAAGCCTAGTGATGACAACTCCATACAATACTGCAAATAAGTTTAACCTGAAAATGAAACTTTTGTGGGAGGATGGTTAAATGATAAAGGATCTGATTCTCATTTATATTATAGTCCTGCATGCCTTTCTAGCTACAGCTACCTCCATTTGAAAGCTCATTTACACTGCCAAAGTGGTGTGTAGTGTAAATGAGAATTGGACTTGCATCTTTAGGTTCTGCTAGTTTGGGAAAGGGCTTTTGGAGAGGCTAAGATAAGGAAGGACTGTCCCATCTCCCAAAAGATCCAGCCATCTGACCACAGTTGAGAGGAGGGCATGTGCATTCAGGAAGCCTACTTCCATCTAGGAAAGGTAGGCAAGTGTGTATATGAGGCACAAATACAAGTTGTTGCTGGTATGTTCTGAGCTGCTGGTCTGGATTTTCACATTCAGCTCTATTTTTACTTTCCACTGTATTTCTGGGGCAGCTTCTTTCTCTGCCAATCAGCATTCAGGAAACCTTGGTTTTGGCTCAAGAAGCCTAGATGTAGTTCTGTGCAAACAAGGCCCATCAGTGCAGTTCCAAAACCTGGGTTGAATGGATTGGTGAAGAGCGGAGCACACATACCATCTCCACACTGCTAGCCCCATCAGACAGGGTACTTGGGACTCCAGTGCATAGATGCTGCAGAACCTGCCTGGCCCCATTTTTTTAGTATTATTTGAAAAGTGTGTCTTCTCTCAACACTTTCTCTTTTAGTTGACATGTCAGCTTTCTCTTTAGCCTGTCATTGCTGTTGCTTGTTTGTGGAGATGAGTGGAGCTTGGAAAGGAAACTGTTATACCATAAGCCATTCTGAAACTCAAGGGCTCATTGTTTTAGAACATGGTGTACCCCTCAGAATGAATAATTGTTTCCAAAGTGAGCTATTCCCCTAAGAAAATTAAATTTGCATCAATTGAGAGTAATCCTCTTCGGAGTGAGAACCAAGCTTCTTACTTCCCAGGTACTAGGACACACAGTTGCTTGCTAATCACATCATTACCCTTAATGAGCTGCTGGTTCACCACCTCCCCAAGCGCTGATGCCCTTTGTTTTCCTTTTGATCTCTCTTCTTGCAATTTCTACCCTTCAGCCTCCAATTTTCCTCCTAGGTTCAGCTTCTCTTCTATAGATACCTAGAAGGCTCCTCTTCATCACACTTGCTGCTTTTTCCTTAATGGTTGCAGAACCTGCTCCCGTTCCTCTTGTTTTTCATTGTTCAAGATACCTTGAGATATAGTTATTTCCCCATATCTCCAAAGAGAGATCCACTTCTCAGCTGTTGCTTATGAGAGTTATAGCCAGGAGAAGAATCATGCTCTTGTCAGTGGTTACTGGCACCTTTTTTGTCTGTCCCAGTGTTCTTTTAGTGGAGGGGTTCTGACCAATGAAAGTGATCCTATTCTCATATAAGATACAGACTTTAGATAGCAGGGGACAATCATTTACTGTGCATTATCATTTCCATCTGTTATACTTGGATTTCCTGCTTTCTTGGTATCTAAAAGTCCATAGTTTCTCCTAAATTTCTAGCAGGCTGAAGCTTTTTCAACTCTGTTTCAGCTTGTAACAACCCCAGAGCATCTGGTTGCTTAGAATCTAGAATTTTCAGCAGCCTGCTGGGGGCACTGAATCTTGAATGTTTGGCATCCAATGAGCTAATTTCTTTTTGGGGGATGGTTGGCTGGCTGGTGGGTGCTTTCTACATGGTATGTCAGCAGAAGTCAGGCCAAGATTTGTACTCTCTCACTGTTTCTCAGCATGGGGCCGCCACTTGCCTCACCTCATTGACCTTAGGAAGATCCATAAATCAGCTGCACATTCAATAGTACAGCCCTCCTAATGTTTATTGCACACTTCACTGATTGAGAAACAGGCCGCTTTTAGTGCCCACTGCATGAAAGAGCCCGTGCGGGTTAGAAATACTGCAGGGGAGGTTGTCTGATGTTTCAAAGCCTCTGCATCTTGCCTCATAACAAGGGCAGAGTATACTTCTTGCCATGTCTGTATTAATAACAAAAGCCCAAGGCCAGCAAAAAAGGAAAGTTTAAAACCACAAGCAGCTCTGGGCTTTGTTCTCAATACTGTTTGCCACAATCTGGCTCACAATTGCCATTTCAGATTTTGCAGCCAGGGCAATGGAAATAATGTAAGTCAGGGCTATAAACCCAATATATTTCCAGTTCATTCATCCTAAGGGTTGAAATTATTGTCTCATAGCAAGAAAAATGTTCAAAATCTGTGAGGTAATGGGTACAGCCCTGCAAATCCACACGTATCCACTTTATATCTGCAGGTATCTATATCTGCAGCTCATTTTTGTGCACATGGATGCAGATACAAAATTTGTATCTAGAGCCAGGGAAATCTGCAGATATCCATGGGTATCTGCATTGACATCTGTCAATGCAGATACAAATGTGGATGTGGATGTAAATTTTGTATCTGCGCAGGACTCTAGTAATGGGACCTGGGGACAGACCTAATTTCTTAAGAACTGTAATGCAATATGGAACTTTTTCCAATGTCCTTGATTCAAACTTTGTTTAACTGTAAAGTAGTCCTTGTAGACAGTGGAAAAGTCCCTCCAGTGCATTCAGGAACCAACTGTTGAACTCTGTTCCTGTTTCCAGATGCTTTGAATTGGCCCTAAGCTACATTATGCAAAGGAATGACTTCCACCTGGTTCACACCTCTACGATCTCCTACTGCCTTACCCTGGAGGGCCTCCAGTTTGTTTAGAGGGTTGCAACATTTGGAACCCTAAGGGTCCCAGGGCAAGTCTTGACCTAGATAATGAGCTGGTTGCTCATGCAGTGAGCCTATCACTGGATGGGGACTCTGAAAATGTGTTAATGGTGTTACAGTGTATGATCCCTAGGTGTTCATGTTCTAGCTTCCTGTGTCCAATATGCATTGTAGTCCGATTAAAAGGAAATATGTGTGGATGTGTGAGAGATCTTTAAAATCCATGCATGATATTCCCACGCCCTGGGCTTTATTTCAGTATCCAATCCCATTATTAGAAAACAGTCTCTTCCTCTCTCTTCAGTGTAGCACATTGCAACAAGTGGCAAATATGGCCAAGATTTTCAAAAGAGAATTACTAGGCAAAATTATTCCCCCCCGCCCTGAGAATTCATGATTTTTTATAGACAGGCCTGTTGATGGGGAGGGGAAAGGGGGCAACTGCCCCAGGCCCAGCTTTTCCAAAGGGCTAGGGCACTTGGCCACCTCCATTGCCACTGTATCAGTGGTGGCACTTGAACCCCAGGGCCTTTAAATCACCACTGGAGCATCACATGGTGCAGTCTGAGCAGCGCAGAGGGCTGGGGGGATGTGCCGTGGTCAAGGCCGCACCGAAGACTGGCAGTCTCCAGCCCCACCCCTTCTTCCCAAGGCCCCGCCCCTTCCAGGATCAGAGAGCGGCCCCTTCTCCCCCCAGGTTGCCCAGGGCTCAGTGAGGATGTTGGCTCCCCTGGTCATAGATTGTTCCTGTGTGAGCCTGTCTGAAATGGAACTGTGACAAATCTGTCTGGAGAGTTTCTACGCCTTTGAAGTTAATTTTCTTCATCACTCAATTTTTCTTTATAGTATAATTGATATAATACTGCCGTCTCAGAAAGGTCAACCTGTTTGAAAAAGAACAAAAGGGGGAGGCTGGAGGCAAAAGGAGGAAACAATCCCACTGATTTTTTTTAATAAATCACTCTCATTGTGTCTTCTAGGTCCTTTAAGCCTGACTTTGTTCTAATTCGACAACATGCCTACAGCATGGCACTAGGAGAAGACTTCCGCAGCCTTATCATCGGCCTTCAATATGGCGGGGTTCATAGTGTCAACTCCCTCTATTCCGTCTATAACTTCTGCAGCAAGCCATGGGTGGTAGGTGATAATCCACGTTTATTATGTTGGCACTGGACTGGGTAACTCTGTGGGGGATGGCACTCCAAAGGCAGACTCAAGTTTTTCTCATGGAAGCCCTTGCCTTTGCAGCCACCACACTGCTAGCCTTAGAGAAGTATTTGGAGGGTTGCCTTTAGGAGCCTGACAACATTGCTCATTTATCAACCTATCCAACTTGCTTCTGAGTAACATCCCTGTCCCAACTAGAAGGCTTCTTCAGTAATCCCAGATCCTGTCACTTGGCTAAATGGGATACCAAATCTAGATCTCCTTTGCAGCGGTACAGTTCAATACTGATAGTTCACTGGGCTGGCTCAGGAATGCATTTTAATTTGTGTGAACCACCAGCATGTCCTGTGCTAGTGGATATGTAGACAGTGATTCATGAAAGGGATTATGTGATTCTATGTTTATTGTTTGTATCATGTCAGTGCCTTGGAACTCCAGCTAAAATCAGTGCCCTATTTTGCCAGGAACTGTACAAACAGAACAAGAGACAGTCCCTGCATGGAAAAGCCTACAGTCTAAATAGACAAGACAAAGCATTGTGGGGACATTGCATGAGAGCAGAGTGAACAAAGCAGTGACATGCAAATGTCATGTTGGCATCACAGGGTGTTACTTTTGTGGATGTTCTTAGTTTTCTGGGGAGGAGTTCTGTTGGAAGGGGATTCACTGAAATAAGAGAAAGGTAAAGCAGTGTTCCTTCTAATCTGTGTGGCAGCACAACCCCACAGCTGCTTAATGAGCCCCGCCCAGCCAGGGGCTCAAGGCTTGCACATAGAGCTGCCTGGCCAGAGCAGTTGCTGTCACAGAGGGAGAAATGCTCCTCCCCTTCCAGGCAGCTTCATGCATGAGTCCTGAGCCCGTGGCTGGGCAGGGCTCATTAAGCAGCTGCGGGGCTGTGCTGCTGCCGTATTTTGGAACAGACAGCACATTAAAGGGAAGAGGTTAGAGTAATGAGAAAGTGGGAGTGTGACAGACAGGTGGACTAAGGTGGAGGGAAAGCCTGAGAGATAGCAACAGCCCGTCAGCAGAGGGGAAAGACTATCCTGAGTAAAAGCTGTTAAAAGTCAGACCTCTCTAGAGTCCAAAGGTTCTTGCTACAGAGGCTTGTCTCTGCTTCTCCATGCTGGCTTCCCTGGCTTATGTAGCTTAGTGGAAAGTGCTGGGCTTCATGGGTGGGATTCTCCCCTTCATAATTCTAGATCTATGGGGCATTAGGACTACGGACTTCAGTTTCCACCCTTTGTGTTTGTAGTTTGAGGGTAAGGGCCTTCCTAATTTCCTCTCTGGAGGTTGCTGGTGCAATTCTAGGAAGCCTCCTATATAGTTGCACAAATATCACAAAATTTTGGACAAAGACAGTCACAAGGAACCAATTATTGTCGTTATTTAACCATAGATTTTGCTTTCTTTGAATCAGTTGCACCCACTAAATCGTCTCTCTCTTGACGGGTGGCTCAAATTCATCTGAGGTCTGTAATGATTAAAACTGATATCTTGTATCAGAGGGGTAGCCGTGTTAGTCTGAATCTGCAAAAGCGACGAGGAGTCCTGTGGCACCTTATAGACTAACTGAAGTGTAGGAGCATAAGCTTTCGTGGGCAAAGACCCACTTCGTCAGATGCATGTAGTGGAAATTTCCAGAGGCAGGAATAAATATGCAGGCCAGGATCAGGCTGGAGATGACCAGGTGGATCCAATCAAGGAGGATGAGGCCCACTTCTAGCAGCTGATCTGGAGGTGTGAATTCCAAGAGAGCAGAAGCTGCTTTTGTAGTTAGCAAGCCATTCACAGTCGGTCCCGGTACTGGTTAACTGTTATCAATAATCACCAATAAGGGCGATGCTTAATGGGTAACCCTTTAACCGGGTACCCATTAACATCCCTAGTCCAGATTTAGATCTTTTTGAATTTGCTCAAAACATTTTTAATTATTCAAAACTCCACATTTTCTGTGCCTTAAAAATAATTGAGCCAGATCTTTAGCTAATGGAGATTGGCACAGTTCCATTGATTTCAATGGAGTCATGTTGTTTTATACCAGGTGTCAATTTATACCAGGTGGCTGACTGTATGTTACTAAGGTCTACACTGTGTCAGGTAGCCACAGCTCTGAGTGAGTGACAGATTAGCACAGCCCTGGAGCAGGGTGGGGATGAATTGTGCTTGCAGAAGACAAAATCCCTGTCCAAGCTTCTCAGTACACATAAGGAGTGCAACACTGACAGTACCATTACCTTCCCAATTCTCTGTTAGTGCTGTTTTAAATTTTCTGCTTTCCCCAATGTTAAAGAATTAAGGATTAAGAAAAAAAATTACAATTTTGCATATAAAATGTGTTTACTCCTCATTCTATCTTTATTGCCCAGGCCAACCCAGCGGTGTAGCTAGGAGGGCCAGAGTGGGGGGGCAGTTGCCCCTTGGTGCCACACTAGGGAGGCACCAATTTAGTCCCCCATCGCTCCCCCTGTAATCCCTCAATTCGCCTGCTCTTCCTCCACCAACCGCAGCCGGCTGGAGGCTCCTCCCCACATCTCCACCCCCAGCCCGGCCCTTCTACATCTCCACCGGTGGGTTAGTGCATGTGGGGGCCCAGCCCCAAACTGGAGGGGGTGGGGAAGATGAGGTACAAGGTTCCCCACCTTTCCTCCCAGGGTTGGGCTCAGTCGTGCACCAGGTTTAGGGCCTGCTTCACGGCAGCAGCGGGGTGGGGGAAAGGCATAAATTTTGCCTTTGCCCCCAGATGCATAACATACTCACTACACCTCTGGACCAATCTCAATACTGGAGAAAGTCTAAGGCATTATTTGACACATTATTTTGTGTCTTACGATGACACCAGACAAAAGGCAATAGACAACAGGGAAAGCACCTGCTTTCTTCCCTACTTTTCTGAAAAGGACCAAGTTATCTTCTCCTTGAGCCTGGCTACTTCAGACAGTCTGCTAAGAAAGCTAAATGGCACCTGGAATAAAATGATTAGCATGTTGTAAGTTGCTTCAGGAACCATTCAAGTATTGTGGGATGTTTTGTGTACTCTGACTAAAGCAAATATAATGCAATTTAATGTAGAGGAAAATATATTATGAAAGACAGTGAAAATACCTAAAACACCATTATTGTATTTCTGAACCAGATTCATATGTCTGATAAAAATACTTCAAAATATTCTAACATTTCAAAATAATTTTATTCCATAAAAAGGCATTGATGTAAAACATAATTTTGACAGGAAGCCTATTTTTTTTTAGTGCCAAAGACATTTGATGTTTAATATTACATTTAAAAATGAAAAGAAGCTATATTGCTCTTCACATGTTAGAAGTGCAGACAAAAGCCAATTGATCCTCCCAACATGCCCAGAAAATAGATTAGAATATACCACTAGTCTCACTTTGTAAATGGGAAAAATGATGCAAACAAGTGAAGTGAGTGGGCCAAGGAAACACAAGAAGGCAAGGCCTGGTTTAAAACTCAGGAGTATTTGAGCCACTGCCCCATGGTCATCCATTCAGACTAAAATGGCTGTTGCCAAAATACACCTTGTGTTTGTATAACCCACGGCACACGAGACAAATCCCCAACAGAGATAAGCTGGTGTAAATTTGCTGGTCCTACACCAGTTTAAACTAATTAGAATCGTCCCCAGTGTGTTCTGTCAATTCAGTACATGGCAATAAAATTACAATGGAGGCCGTGTTTCAGTAACACTACATATACACTACATATAACACTACATCTGACACCTCCAGATCAGCTGCTAGAAGTGGGCCTCATCCTCCTTGATTGGATCCACCTGGTCATCTCCAGCCTGATCCTGGCCTGCATATTTATTCCTGCCTCTGGAAATTTCCACTACATGCATCTGACGAAGTGGGTCTTTGCCCACGAAAGCTTATGCTCCTACACTTCAGTTAGTCTATAAGGTGCCACAGGACTCCTCGTCACTTTAACTGATATCTTGTGACTACTCCTTTTGGCACTGACCGTTTCAGTCCATTTCCTCATCGAAAGGTGCTTGTGTTACAAAAACCATCTTCATCCTTCGCACCTGCTGTGCTCAGTGACCAGGACATGGATGGTCGTTCCTAGGACTGGAACAAGCATCAGAGGCCAGATGCCAGAGCCAGGGGTCAGAACTGGAGTAAAAAAACAGGAGCCAAGGCTCAGAACCAGGTTACTGGGAGTGGGTATGTCTACACTACAGTGTTATTTCAAAATAGCTTATTTCGAAATAACGCATCTGCACACAAAATACATTTTGAAATAGCATTTTGCTATTTTGAAATAGTGCTTCCACACTGAGTGGACTCTGAATCACATTTAAGGCTGGCCAGAACCAGTTCCACCAGGGCACCAAGTCAGGACTTACTGTGTAGGGCTGCTGTCAGAGGCTATCTGAGGTCTGTGCTTAAAGGGACCCCTGTCCCCCCAGGACAGCCAGTTCTCAGGTTTCCCTTCTTGCTTGTCTACCTCAATGAGGGACAGCAAAGCATTTTGTCTCTGCGTGCTCTGCAACATGGAGCCAGAGCTGCCCCTGGGCACTCTGGTACTTCTCTTGGATGCGTTGTTGGAGCCTGGCTGCACTTTCTGCAGGCTGCCATCCAGAAGGTCCATCGGGGGGCTGTCAGTATCCAGGAGGCCCTGCGGGAGAGCTTCCACCCTGAGGAGCACTAAGAGCCTCCCTGGTCTGCCCCACTGGGGGCTTGTGCCTCATTCCTCCCTCATGTCCTTCCACTTACCCCTCCCTTACCCACCTTCCCGATGTCAAATAAAATACACGTATTTTCATGAACACAAACTCTCTTTATTTAATAAAACTGTGGGGGAGGGAATGAAACTCTGGTGAGACTGGGGAAGGGAGGCAGGAGACGGGAGAAGAGAGAGTAGGAGAGGGGAGGGGGAAACCTGGGAGGAGGGAGCTGGAAGGGGGAAGCAAGGGGAAAGAAGAGGGAGGGGAAGGTCAGGGCTCA